TTCCCTGGAGCTTAGCACTAAGGAAGAGACTTTGTAGATGCTTAAAAATAATGACTCAGTTGCTCTCACAGCTCTGACAGGAATGACCTCCCCAAATGTGAGGCCATGATAGCAGTCACAGAACTTGTGTTTCTTTTCCATGAACACTGTTACCACTGCAGTCTGATGTTAACCCAAGTGAATGTCAAATGACTGAGGGTAAAATCATTGGTAAAACATGCATTGCTTGTTTGATGTCTCTAACAGACATCAAATATTATGATGCTATACTACCAGGGAAAGTACATTACATTTGGTATAGTTCCAGGACCCCAAAGCACAAATGGCATTAACTATTTAGTAACAGGGTCCTGGTAATGACATGTGGTTCTCTTCCCATCAAGACTTCCCAGTATACATCCCCTCTCACAGATGAAGCACATTCGTACACATGCACACACACACATACACAACATTCCTCTAGATTTTCCCTGAAGAATTTTAAATAATCTTCAAGCCTAAGATTATCTTTGCAATTGGATATTTCATAATCATAGCGTTATTTAAATCTTTTTTTTTTTTTTCTGAGGAGAAGAATATGATGATACTGATATCATGGTGATAATGCCCTGATGGCTTTGGGCATGAAAACAAAATTTCAAAAACTTAACATGCATTGTGATTTACTCATTATCAGTAGGCTTTGCTCAACATAGTTGGCTATCAACTATGCATATTCTAAAAAGATTATTAGTGAGAGCACTGGACATGGAATTAAGAGATAAACTTTTTTCACTTCACCTGTGCCACTGATTTGTAGTTATGTTGGAAATGTGCTTGTGCATCCCTGGATTTCAGAAACCTCACCTGAGAAATCAGGGTGGAGGGTGAATTCAGTAATGTCTCAGTTGGGGATATGACAGAATTGTGATTGCTATGGCTAAATCAAATGTTTGCTGGTTTAGTTTTCCTCTGCCATATGCAGCCAAAAGGTGGCCAGGCCAGAGCTGCTCCTTCATCCTTGGAATAAAGCTTTTGTCTCTTGACTTCAAGGGGACTATTGTACCTCCAGCCATTTTGTTTTCCACAAAGGAAGAAGAGGAAGCTTTATGAGCAAAAACTCCCAAGATACTAGCATACTGTGCTAGGAGAATATGTTTCCCCTTCCCTTTCATTTTAATTGAGAAAGGGGGGCGGGTACTGTTTTCCTGAAGCCCCAACATATTTATTTCTGTTCACTCTCCTTGGACAGAGTTGGGCCTCATGACCATCACCTACTACAAGCCATTATATATATAAAGAGGCTTTAGAATCCACTCAGCCTGGAAGAAGGAATAAATGGCTACTGCATGGGCATTCAGCTGTATCTGCAGATATCTTCTAAGTTGTCCGCATCTTGGACAGTCTGTCAATTGCACTTTAAAACCTATCATTACCCAATGTAGTCTTCTCACAGCATTGGTCTCTAGTGTGCACACTGCTTAGTCCAAGTTTGGATTAGTAAGTTAACCTCATTAGCATGCTGGGAGGAGGCGTGTTAATGCTAGCATCTGTTAGAAGGCAGGATGGGGTGGTGATAGGGAACCATCCGTTCATTCTCCTTTATCCTTCTATTCTCTTATCCCTAAGGGAGACAGATAAGGTGACAGTGTCCATGTAACTAGGAGGTAACAAAAAACCTTTTCAGGCTGATATACTTTCGTTTTCCTCTCCCTTGGCAGCCAGAACAAGAAGTGGGGGAGGGAGGTAGCCAAATTTTAAAACACACCCCTTAATTCTTGTTTTCTGCAGTAGAGATCTGTGACTTTTTTTTTTTTTTGATCTCTCCATAATTCTTTCCAGTAACATCAGTCTGGATTTTACTTTTGAAAACTGTCTTCTTCAATGGATGGCCGTAGTGGGAGCATTGCTAGAAAGGCGATCAAGAAAGGCCAAGAATGGCACCTCTTGGAGAGTGGAGCTTTAGCAGAGTGACAAAAGAATGGAACATCCTGAAGGCAAGGTTGTGCCATCTGCCCTGGAACCCAGAAATGCTCTGGCTCTTCTCTGTAGCCAGGTTTCTCCTTGTCCTTACCAGAAATACCTACTTTGGTTCAGACACACAGTCAGCTTCTCTTTCTAGCAACCTCAAAAATCCTGATAGGTGTATTTTTTAATGGCATTGATCTATCCTACAGGTTATTTGTCAATGTCAAGGAGTTTGTGATGCTTCAAGACAAACATTCAGGCCAGAAGTTTCTCCTGATTCTATCACTAATCCATTATATAACCTTGTGTATGCCTCTTTGGTCTCTGGGACTCAGTTTCAATGGTAAAGTAGTGGGTTGGACCAGGCCTGTAGTTTCAAACTGTTCTCTGAAGTGCCTCAGAATTTGTCTGCAGAAAACCCTCAGGGACCTATGAGGAGTCCTTAGGAACATACCATCATGGGCTCTGGATTTCTGGGTCCACCACATGACATCAGTTAGAACTGCTTGATTCTCATCCAATTTATATATTGGAAATGAGGTATTTTTTTTCCCCCCTTACTGGTCCTTGGCTAACAAAGTTTGAAAAATGTTGGATAATATGATCTGTAAAGCGCCCTTCCAGCTCTGATGTGCTGTATTTCTAAGCAGGTGGAATATTTGGTAACATCTTTTCATTCATCAGCATAATTGGGAGCACAGGAATGCCTGCCAAAACATAATCTGTATCTAAATAAAATCTTCTGTGTGCAAAACAATGGCAAGGAAGGACATTCAGCAAAGAACAGCCTGTGTGGAAGAATGAGCGACAAAGCACAGATCCTTGTTTTGCAATTCTGGCCATGGGATCTGGGAAAGAAGGCTCACCACGGCTCTGTCTAGCCTTTCTTCTTTTAAAGCAAAGGATGCTCCATCTTTCAGTGGATGTATCCAATGTTTTAAAAACTTTCAATTGGTTATCAGTATGATGTATAAATGCAAAAATGCCACTTGAAACCCTATGCCTAGCTTCTTTCAAAAACTGGAGGAAGTGACAATGTTGGCCTTCCATCCAGCAGGACAGCTGTCACACACAGAGGAACAGTGACCAGCCCTTCTAGCCCAGAACATCTGCTGCATTTTGTTCCAGGCCCATGCCAGTCACTCCCCACTCCTGACTTGGAGGTCTGCCCTTGCACTTGCTCTTCTGTTTTCCCCTACTGCAGGAGAATGGTAAATGAGACAAACTATGTCTTCTATCGCTGTCCTTATTCAAGGTAGAGGCAAAAATGATAGACTGAGAAGGTCATGCTTGTCTACCAAACCAGGACAGAGATGGCATTTCTTTAGGATAGTGTTTGTTAAATAGGGACACTTTTCCTCTTTTCCCCCACCTTGGGACACTTGGTGATGTCTGCAGACTTTTTAGGTTGTAACAATAGGGAGGGTGACACTGGCATCTAGTAGGTGGTATGAAGGATATTCTAAATATCCTAAAATGCATCATGCAGCTCCCACAATAAAGAATTATCCAACACCAAATGTTAACAAGCTTTATGGGATTGCTGTGAATTGAATATGCCTCCTCGACCTGATGACTAAAGAGCCAGAATAGGAAAATTATGTTCCATTTTGACAGAGCAAAGGTGAAAATGATAGAAATGCCAACATGGATATGGCCGCCATGTCCTCACTCTCCCCAGATTTGTTCTTTGACCTTCATTAAGTACCTCAGAGGATAGGACCATTCCCCCAGCTTATGCTCAGGGTTTCTAAGTCCCCATGTTTTAGGCTTGGGGGTTATAAATGACAGGACAGGGCCCAAGGCAAAAGTGTGGTAGTCTGCTCTGGGTCTGGTTCCCCCTAATTCCTTCCTTCCCTGTCCCCATCTGTTTGATTTAATGAATCAATCTGCAGGCTTCCTGTTGCCAGTATGATGTGCTCTTGGCCTGAGTCCAGTTCTGTCAACAGGCACAGAACTCAGATTGATAGATCTGCTATTGTGCTTCCCCTGCAATGGGATGAACCTTGCTGGAAAGGGGAAGAAACTCCAGGAATCAGAGGGGAACTGAAGGACATTAAGAGGTCTGGGATGCATAGGTGAATCAGGTAAAACCTATTACTGCAAGTGTCGCTACTGAAAAGGGTTCAGCATGCCAGGCCCTGGGCAGAGCAAGTGGGCAGGAGACAGTCAAGGAGGGCATACAGAAACCAAAGGTAAAAAGCACCTCATCACTCATTACTATCCAAACATCCATCTGTCCATCCAACCACCATCCATCCACTCCCCACATGTCCATCCATCCATCTAGCCTTTCAGCATAGATTGATGGGATAGGTGTCAGGCCTTGGGCAAATTATGTGGCTCCAATCCTTCTGGAATCAAAATCAAGTTCTGAGAATTGCAGCTGTTAGATCTCAAGCAAACTATTTTCCTCTTCTGAGTATCCTGATCAATATAAGTAGGGGAAACATTTCTCCATCTTTCAGGGAGTGATGTGAAGATTTAATAAGGCCTCCTTAGCGCAGGCTTGACTTAGTTCAGACACGGATTCCGTGCCTGCTTCCTTCATCCCATGGGTACCAATTCAGCTCACACACAACCCCTTTAGTTCATAGAGGTAAGGACAGCTTCTGGAGTCACCTGCAAGCTCAATTTGTGTTACAGAGAACCCTCACCTTCCACAGAACCAGCTCATCCCCATGAGGCTGGCAGGCCTTCTGTGGTGCACAGCATCATGCAAACGGCAGGATGCAGGAAGGCCCAATCACAGCAAGCATGTTGGTGACAAGTGAGGATGTGCACAGCAGTCCCTATAAATTCCAAATTGCTGCTTAACCCCTTAGGGGCATCAGGAAGAAGCAGATCCACAGCTGTTTGGGGGGGTGGGAGGTGGGAGCGGGCACCGGCACCCTCTCTCATCAGGCAGTTATTAAAGACCCAGGGTGCGCACAGCAATAAACTGTTATTTCAGGCTCCCACTGCTGAAACCCCTGTGGCCCTTTAACAGATGGTCTTCAAGAAGGAGCTTGGTGTGTGCAGATGTGTCTGTCTGGCCGTGTGTGCCTACTCACCAAGCTTGTACCACATATCACGGATGGAGAAGCCAATTAGCCGTCTCATGTCCCCGTACCTAGGAGGAACAAACAACAACTCTGCTTCAGGCACCATCTCAGAGCATCTCACAAAGCCCTCCCACCCCACCCCTTTCAGGAGATCCAAACATGCAACCTACTTATTCAGGATTTTGTTGTATTTGGCATGCGAAAACTGCTCCAGCTGCAGAGAATCCTGAGTGATAAAAGCCACTGCCAGATGAAAATAGTTGTTCCACAGCTGTAAATGAAAGAGCAGAGAGCAGTCATGGAGAGGTCTGAAGTGGGAACGCATATTAAATGCTGGGTAAGGTGAATAATTTATGAAGATGGCAGAAGACAGAGGCAGAACCAGTTTAATTCCATGCACTGCAATTTTCTAACTGGCACTGACTCTGTAATGAAATCCCAGCCAAGTTAGGACAATGGTTCAATTTCTCCAGGCGCTGACCATGTCCCCTCTCTGGCAACAGGATTTGGATAAGGAGGAGTTTAGGATCTTTTTTTTTTTTTATGTGCTTCATTTTGTTTTTTGAAAGATAAATAACTTGCCCCAGCTGGGTGTCCTGGTGAGCTGGTTCCTTTGCCCTAGAATTAGAGTGGATGAAGCTATTTCAAGGGCTCTCAGCCTCTTTGAAAGTCTTCCCTAGTTTACTCAACAGCTCAGAGGAACAGCCTGCAGCCCATTCTGTCTTAGAATATTTTGCTTTCTCTTTCCTCTTAGTTTAGTGGTTTCAGAGTGCTGTCTCTGGACAGCAGTGTCAGTATCACACGAGAACCTGTCAGAAAAGCAAATTTTCTGGCCTCGTCCTAGATTACTTGATCAGACTGGGAGATGGGGCCCAGATTCTGTGTTTCAAGCACTGGGGTGATTGCAATGCTTGTTGTTTTCACATTTATTTTAACTGTTGGTATTAAATATACAGGACTGACAGTAGAACCCACTCTACTGGCCTGTGAAGGGCTCAGCACGTGGAGTGCTTCAGAAACTGCAACAGACGGCTGCAGAAAAGATGACATGAGATTTTCAGAGGGCATGAATTCAGCAAGAGTTCAAGTGAACCTGCTAACCTTATTGCTGTTCTTTTTGGTACAACAATAAGGTACCAGTGATTTCTTTGGCACCAAAGCAAATAGTACAACCTGGCTCCTTGGGTGCTCATGAACAATTGTTACTAGATGCCAAGAGCTAGCAAAGTGCAGATGGGAGACAGCTTAACTAGACACAGCCCATGCACACCTAATCCCCTCAAAGCACTGAATAGCAAGAAGAAAGGTAACATTAGCTAATGAAGTCACCTGGCATTTTATCCTTAACTCTGTGTGTGTGGACCGTTGACTTTCTGGGGGCTTCTTGGAACTAACATGTATCTCATCTCACCTTGTCACTAATATATATCTTTTGGACCCAGGGAGATAAAGTTTCCTTATCTTAACTCAAAGCAGTTTAGTGAAGATTTCAGACAGTCAAAAGTAAGAAAGAGGCAGCCTGACCCTCATAATGTCATTGTTGCTACCCCAAAGATTACTGTCATGTGGGCACATGGCTTCAAGTTCAGAAAGTAGAAAACAAGCCCTCTACTTTTTATCATGGGCCAGGCAATTGCCATAAAGCCCTCATTTCAGCACTTAAATCTTAATTGTTATTCTTGGTCCCATTTTATATATGAGGAGACTGTGAAGTTACTCAGCTTATTACTGAGCTGGGATATGAACTCAGGCTTTCTGATTGATGTTCAGGGTTCTTCCACATGCTTCAGTCGGTTTTTGACTGAGCAAACATTGCCAAATACTGGGCAGTAACTCCCAACCACAGTCCCTGCTCTTGTGTAACTCATATTCTGTTGGAGGAATACATTTTCCCTTTTCTTGAAATGCTATCTCCTGAGGTCCAAAAGGTCTACCTTAATCCCGAGGTGAATGAGGGACCCCTGGAAATTCAGCTTTCTACACAGAGACAAGAAGGATCTTTGAAAAACAAGTTTCATCCTATCATTCCATTCTTCAAAGTGCTGTCAAGGTTCACCATAACTTTGGGATCAGACTCTAATCGTTTCATTCTATATCATACTCCTTTCTCCAAATATATCTGCTGGGGTCTCCAAGCCACCCAGACTGTCTTCCTCTGGAGGACCAGTGACAGGCAGCTTCTGAAAATGTGCTACTGGGGCCAGACCTCATACCTCCTTCCATGGAAGACCAGGAAATGAAACAATAAGGCAATGAAAAGGAAAGTCCTGTCAGAGGACATAAATTGGGTGATTTTTTTTAAAGATTTATTTATTTGTACATACAGAACTGGGGTACAGGCCAGAGGCTCAGGGCAGTGAGAGGCTTCACCAGTGATGGAGTGGGGAGCCGAACAGGCAGATCTACAAAGTACACTGCTGAGGGGAGCAGCAGGTGGGTCAGGAGAGTTCTGCCACGCCATGTGGTTACCTCTGGGGCAGGCGGGAATTGACTTAAGCGGAAGTGGCTTTGGCTTCTCAATGCAGTGCTTTAACCTGCTGCGCCACCAGGGAGGGCCCAAATTGGGTGATTTTTAAGGTGATGAATTCCCAACCTGGGTGGGTGGGGTTGCTTTCTTAAGATCAGGGTACAAAAGGAAATAGATGTATGGAAAAATAAGGCTATATTTTTTAGAATAATCCCAGAAATGTTCCCCAAACACATTTTGAGAACATATAGGCATGTCCAATCAAGCCAAATCTCTTGTTATTCTCTATTGTACTTGAATTTGTCCTGCTATATTTGTTTTCTCTCATCTCAGTTCTGATTTTCTTTTTTTAATTGAGATATAATTCATATGTCATTATATCTACTTAGTTCTCATTCAACATTTTTCATATTTTATAAGATAGTACAATCATCACCACTATCTAATTTTAGAACATTTTCATCCCCCACCCCCTGATAACCACTCATTTATTTTCTGTCCCTGTGGACCTGCCTAATTCTAACATTTCACAGGGATGAAATCATATAACATGTGACTCTTCTCTCTGGCTCCTTTCATCTTATTTCATGTATCAGGAATTCATTTATTTTTACTGCTGAGTAATATTCTATCACATGGATATACACATTTTGGTTATCCATTCAGCTACTAATGAACATTAGAGTTGTTGCGGCTTTTGGGCTATTTTGAATAATTTTACTTGAACTTTTACAGAAAAAATTTTTCTGTGACCATATGTTTTCAGTTCCTTTGAGTATGTACTTAGGAGTTGGATTTGATATTAGTTTGATACCCTTTCTTGAAGGTTGTCATGGACCATCAGATACTACCTACATTGAGTGTCCTCCTTTTTTTCTTAAGTGAATCAGAACTAGCTCTATGTATCCTGCACAGACCTTGCTGGGTTCTGCCTAAGGTCAGTGGCTATGTGCCATGCCCTAAGAGGTGAGCAGTGGCTACACCTAGATGCAGCTGGGCCCTCTTCATGCCTCTGCCCTCACCCTTCTTTGACTCTTGCTCCTGAAGAATTAGGACCAAATGCATTGACATGGCTTTTCAGGTCTCATTCAGCTTCTAGTGTTTCCTTTTTCAGTAAACTCCCTACTCTGGGGGTGCTATCCTCCTATGCTAAGACTGTAGATACAGCAGAAGTGTCTTGGCCTCTTCCTATTTGCTCGCAGTGATTCACACTCCTGTAATATCTCAGTCCTGTTCGTCTATTAAAGTCAGTTCAAATCACTTCCTTCCTGAAACCTGATCAGCCCTTCCTAATGTACTTATTTACTTTTTAAAGATTTACTTACTTATGCATACAGAACTGGGGTGCAGGCCAGAGGAGCCAGGGAGGTGAGGGGATTCACCAGAGACAAAGTGGGAAGCAGAACAGGCAGATCAATGAGGGGAGCACAGGAGAGACAGGAGAGGTCTGCTGTGCCATGTGGGTCACTTTCCTGGCCTGGGATTGAACTTGTGCTAAAGCCGGCTACACCTACCTTTGTAGTGTTTTAACCCTTTGCGCCACCAAGGAGGAACCCCCTTCCTAATTTAAATAACACTTAGTGGGTCCGCTATTCTGCACCTGACCTGTGTTCCCTCATTTCCTGTGTTTATTAGTGGTTGAGAACACAAGAATCAGCATCTTGCTGGCCAGGGTGTATTCTATCGCTCAGTAGCAAGGTTACTTGACCTAGTTTAGCCTTACTTACCTTACCTGTAAAATGGCAAAAATAATGGTAACCACCATGAAGGAGAGTTTCATCAAGTACTAGATGAAAAAACCACAAAAGCATCCACCACAGGTTTGTTGGTGCCAAATGCCCAATGGACTGGTGCTGTTGCTGGTGGCACTGTTTACAGAGGATTTGCATGTCCTATCTTCTCTGTGAATTCCACATGTACCAAGGGTCCAATCTTGGTCTGTTCCTAATGTCATGCGCTATATAACGGCTTGAATATAACTGAGCTCCAGAAAATATCTATTCCCATATTCCCTAGTTGTTTCAAAAGGCCCCAGATTTTTTTTAAATTTCCTTCCCCATGATGTCTGGTGTCATTTAACTAAGTGCCCAGTTTAATTGACTCATTGAAGTCACATGAGCACTAGGAAAACAAACAGGACCTTTCCCTGGGGAAAAGAGTGGGTGATTTCTGATTGGGAGGTCAGAGCTAAAATAATCTTAAATATTATCTGGTCCAACTCCTTTACTTTATAGAGTAAGCAGTGAGGTCCAGATTGATTAAGTAAGAACTCCAAGCCATAGGCTAGTGGGTATAACTAAGATTTAGTTACTTTTAAGTTAACTCTCAAAAAACTATAAATGCAGTACACACACAGTGAAAATAAAGTTAAGTGGTAGAAAAGATTAAATAATAAAAAGTTATTTTCTATCTTTCCTTGGATCCTAGTCTAATTCCTCAGAAGATGATGCAGTTAATGATTTTCTGGATATCTTTCCAAAATTTTTAAAGTGTAAACAAATGTATGTGCAAACATCTTTTTTAAAATAATGTGTTGTACTTTGCTTTTCTTCTCTCATCAATATATCTTACAGATGTTTCCATATTAGCATATACAGATCCGCCTTGTTCCCTTTTATTGTTGCAGGGTGTTCTGCTATAAGGATGCACTTTAATTTTAACCAATTCCCTATTTATAGGCATTTAGCTTGACTCTAACTACTCTTTTCTCCAGCAGCAGTGCTGTAATCAAAATTCTTGTTTATACATCTTTATGCATGAGGGATTATAATGTAGTAGACATTCCTAGAGTCTGGAATGGTTAGGACACACTGTGCAGATTTTGCTGCCATTTGTTTATTGTGTGTGTTTTTTATTTTCATAGATACTGTCAGGTTGCCTTCCTGGATTCTAGTTCCAATTACCAGCTCCATTCTCATAGGTGAGTTGCCTTGCTTCTACCTCAGTTTCCTCATCTGGAAAATGAGGATAATAGTATGGAAAGGGGGTAGTTACAGTGACTAAAGAGAAATTGCTGCCTAGTAAACTGCTTAGTCTTACTGTGCAGAGTTAAACAAAAACTACTTCCTGGGAAGCCATCCCAACTTGCCAGACTAAAGTAGATCTGCCCATTATTCACTCATTATGCCCTGTTTACAGGGTTTTATGACATACCTCAAGCAGAACTGGTTTATTTTGTTTCTCCTACCATATGGAAGCATCAGGGAGATAAGACTCTCGTTTTTGTGAAACCTCCCTCGTGGCGCAGCTGGTTAGAGCACAGTGCTACAAAGCTAGCCATGGCTGCATCAGCGTAGTTAGATCCCCGCCACGGTGACCCACATGGCCCAGCAGACTTCTGTCCTACCTGCTGCTCCCCTCAGCAGTATACTTTGTCAATCTGCCTGTTCTGCTTTCCACTCTGTCTCTGGTGAATCCTCTCACCACTCCTGCACTTCTGGCCTGTACCCCAGCTCTGTATGCATAAATAAATCTTCAAACAATAAATAAAGACTCTCATCTTTGTATTCACTGCTGCATATCCAGTATTCAGTGTTGTGTCGAACACAGCGTGTGCTCAGGAAATGCCTGTTGGATGAGTTTATTACAGGAACCCAGCACTGCCTACCATATTCTTATTAAGTCTTACTGAGAAACTACAAGATTCCTATTATTTGTCTCCCCACTTTAGAAAGCAGGAAATGAGGCCCAGAGAAATTAAATAATTTGCTTATGTCACACAGCTGCAAAGGGAAAGGTGCCATTTGAACCCAGACTCATCTCTCTCCAGAACTTATGTTCTGTAACTACTCTGCTCTTCTGCTAAAATCACTTTTCTTTTTCTTTTGTTATTGGTTAAGGTTCTTACTGGTTCAGCTGATAATTTATAGTCTTTACAGCAGGGAGATCAAGGATTTTTCATCCCCTCATTCTCAATGCCCTTGAATTATTATTCACTCCAAATTCCAAACGAAAAAAAAAAAAACAAAAAAAAACCTTCCCCTACTCCATGCATCTGGTATTGTTGCACAAGCAAAGAGTGTGCTCTCCCTTGAGGAGCAGAGGCATGGTAGCCAGACATTCTTGTGAAACTGTTGATTTTGGGAGCATAAGGTTCCAGCTATGGACTCAGCATAGAAATCTAGCCACAGGTTGTTTGGGATCCTTGAGCTGAGGCAGGCAGCGTTGAAGAAGCTGCCCCTATGCACATCACCATCTTCCTGCTCCCTCTAAGTCTGCTCCCTCTCTCACCCTTTCTGCCATATTTCCTATTACAAAGACCAAGCTTACTTTCACTAGTGGCTGAGAATATTCTGGAAGCTTCTTATTTCACAGGCTCTTAAGAGTAGCTTAAAAATGACCCCAAGATGAACTAGTGCCCAAAACTGATCCAGAAATGACTCAAGGCCAAGGCCAAAAGACCAAATGAGGAACCCATCAACTTTCCCAGAAGAGAACAATCTGAGTAGTAATTAGACAGCTCTCTAAACACACAGTCAGAAAAATTTTCCTGGGGTCAAAGAGCATATCTAAGTATAACTTAGGATTCCTGGGCCAATCAAGAGTTTTCAGTATGGAGAGTCTAGTCCTCTATCAGATAATGACAGAGCACTTTATCCCAATGCTGGCAAGAACTAGCAAAGGCAGACAGCATTTCTGGAGCTAAATAGAGCTGTTTCTTAGATTTAAAGGAACCTTGTTTCTAAGAGACAGTTCAGAAGAATGGAAAGTGCAGGCTTTGTAGATAGGTCTGGGTTTTGAGTCCCAGCAACCCCACTTAGCAGTTGGATGACTTTTAACAGAACAGTCTACCACTTCTATAAAGTTCAGTTCTTTTACCTGTAAAAATGGGTATATCCCAATCTAACAGGGTTATTATGCTAAGGATCATAGCCCTAAGTTGATACTAACAGTGGTTAGTTACATTTAAAGCTTAGATGATAGACTATGCATTTGTAGCCTTTTTTTTTGGGACTCCATGGTCTTTGAAGGCAAGGCAGTTCTGCTTTGCTTCTGTATTTCTTGCAATGCATTGTAATAGCCTCGACCCATGAGAATTGTTACTAAACAAGCTGAGTTGAATTCAAAACCTTTCATACAAATGGTATGAAGACCAACGTCCAGAATCCTGAATAGGGCTTGGGAATACAAATTATTTTAGCCCCAAGCAGAAAACGTCATTTCTGTAATTCTCAGGTCTTGTCACCTACAGAGTAGCTCCCACAGAGATCCTCGCTTTCTGCCCTTTGAATCATAAAACCACAGTTCCGGAAAAGATATTAAGGATAATCTCATTGCATCTGCCCCTCCTCTGGACAGCAGCTGCCAAGGCCAGCAGCACTTAGTGATGGATGCTGTCCCTGCTGATATTAAATGCATAATTAATGAAACCATAAGAAGGAAACAAGGCATGTTCCAGGCAGGGTACAGAGAACAAATCCATTCTCACACTGGGTGAGGGGCAGGTGGGAGAATAAAGATAAGGTTGAAAAATGAGCTTGTTTTTGACTACTTTTCAATATGCATCTATGGAAGTTTCCTTAGAAAAAGAGATTTATTTTATAAAATTGACTACTTTTCCTTTTTACAGAATCCTGTGGGGGGTGATAGTCATAGGCAATATCATATTGATCAGACTGTCCTATCTATGGAGGGCTGAAATTTGAGTTCCCAAGTCTGACACATTTAGGGTCACCCTCCTCATCATCAAAATGATAATTATAAAGAGTTAATATTTATTAACTAGCTACCATGTCCCCGGCATTGTTCTATATGCTTTACAGAAATTAATTAACTTAAACCTCACAGCTATCCAGTGAAGAAATTATCGGTGTTCTAGTATAATGTTGAGGAAACTGAAGCTCAGAGAGGTAAAGTAATTTTCCTAGTATCACATAGCTCATAAACTCAGACTTTGTGAATGAACACTATTTTTCTGGGCATCTCTCAAGTGCAGACTTTTTTTTCAGGAAGACAGGAATAAAACCTCTCACAATGGCATGAAGGACTGGAGTTAAACTTCTATTGCACTGTACTCCTTCTGCCTAAGACCACCAAGGAGAGCTAGAATGTGGAAAGCAGGTCTGAGGCTGTAATTGCCTGTGCCCATGGGAAGAGATGAATAAATTGGCCAGCAGTTTTATAGCCCACACCTGTCATGCCTGTGGTCCTCAGTATGTCATTCCAAGCTTACAAACATCCTTGAACACAGTTGTTAGGAGAATCTCCATAACTGGATTACATTTGAAAGGGGTTCCCACACTTTTGACTCAAACAGCCAAACCAACATGTTTCGTTCACATGTCAAAGGTTTTTAGCTCTCTTCAGGATTCTGTCAGGCAGACAGCTCCCTGCCGAGGTGGTCTGTGTTTGTCAGGTTAGCCACCATTGAGCTACCCTCCCAACTCTCCTCTGACACACAGTGTGACTACAGCTAAACACATGACATGAGTCTTTGCAGGGAAGTTGGAAGGACTCAGAAAGAGAGATATGCCCACAAACTGTTTCTTGTAAGAGCTGCATGTATCAGATAATGGCAGTTACAGTTCCTCCTATTGTCATCGTTGGAGTTCAGATGTCTGATTTGAATTAAGTGAGAGGATCTTGTTCAAAGATAATGTTCACCAAATATAGGCTGGTATTCTCCAGCAGGGTATGCCTACCAGGTCTCAGCCCAAGTCACACCTCCCCAGAGACATATGTACCAGGCATGGAGAGCAGAGTTTCTGTGAATTCAAGGTTTTTGTGCTCATAAAGTTTATGTTCTGTAGGTGTGTGAGTGTAAGAGACAAATAATTTCAGGTAACATTTAGTATTATGAAGAAACTGCAACAGGCTGAGTGGTAATTTAATGACCTGAGGCCATGGGGGACCCTCAGAAAGAGTTCAGTCAGGGGAGGCATCTTTAAGGATGAAGAATTTGGAGAAAACGGTGGGTCCTTATGAGTGAATTTGCCTTGGCATACTCCAGTTCAGAATGAATCCTGTGAGGTAGATTGGGTAGGTGCTATGAGCATTTTATAGATGATTCAGCTAAGGCATGGGGGCAGTTTAGGCTTTGCCTGAGGTTGCTCAGCTGGTTAGAAGCCAAAGACTAGATAGGATCTGACGGCCCCAGATGACTGGGTAGAAAATGCCATTGCTGCAGCTCACTGGCTACTCCCAAAGCTTGCAACACAAGAGATATTTGGGATCTAGGTTTTCCTTGGAGAAGGGATTCCCTTTGGAGGAGTTTTCCTTCACTTTTTCCAGACAAAGGTAACAATATTTCCTGAGCCTGGGGAGTGTGTTGTAGTCTGTTTGTTACAGGGACATGTTTTGAGATCTACAAGTCTCACAGAGACCCCAGGTCTTGCTGAGCACTAAATGTGACTTCTGGAGAAATCAGGAAATCAATGAGCTGTTCTAGAGAACTTTATTTCTAGGCTCCCATCAGTTGAAAAGTAAGAAAATATAACATTTTTAAAAGGTAGCAGCCACTCTGATAATGAATGAATGCAAGTCATCTTTTCAACAAGAAATGTATTATACAGTCTTATTTGCAGATGCCACTCAGTTTATGATTATTAATAGGGTCTGATCCCAAACTCTGAGTACTGCCTAATCTATCAATACTCTTTTGTGGAAGTTCTTGGTATATCTTATATGTGATTTTGGGGGGCAGGGGGTTGCAATGGAGCAATTAGTCCAAGAAATCAGGCAGTGCTGTCAGGGAACCTAAGGGTACCTCTGGTGCCTCTTACTCACCTGAAACTCAAAGTTCATGTGTTCTAGGAACTTCTGGTTCATGATTTCTGCAAACTTGTTGATAGCTCTCAGGAAGACCCTGGAAGACGGGAGAAGGATCAACAGAGCACATTTCCTCAGACTTCCCTCCCCATAATCCAGGCCTAAATTTCCTCAGAGAGGTATCCAAGGCTCCAGGTTCAGGTGTCCACTGAACCAGATTAACACCTGCTCTCACTGTTCAGCTAGGGCCATATTTGCCTTCTAAGAACTGCTGCTTAGTTTACCTATTTAGGAAATTTGCATTGTCTTTTGTTTTAACTACCATAAAGTTAAGGCAAGTGATTTATGACACCAAGAAAGAGAAATTGCTTTGCCCCAAATAAATAAACAAACAAGGTACCACCAACTCCTGCTATCAGAGAAAATCGTCATTGACACATTGATAAACATAACAAAAAAGATCTCCCTAAACACACACACACGTATATGTATATATATATATATATATATATATATATATATATACACAAATATATACACATATACAATACACACATTATATATACACATAACATAGCCGTGAACATGCACAAATATATTTTAAAGTTATTTTGATAAATGGGGTTAATGTAAATACTGCCTTACAGTGTGACTTTTTTCTTCAACAATAAATCGTGTTATGCTTTCATGCCAATGAATGCAGAGATACATCACCCCTTTTAATAACTGGAGAGTGTTCCCTTGCATGGACATTATTATAGTTTATTTCATCAGTCTCTTATTGATGGACCTTTATGTTGTTTCTCAGCTGTATCTGTTACAGTGATGGTTCTTCAATGTGCACCTTGTACACTCTGCATTAACCTCTTCTCCAATCTTCTTCTCAAAGCAGTAATACTGATCACATTTAATTATGCATATATAACATTTTGGTAATTTTTGTTGAATTGCAGGTCTCCTCAAATGTCTTCCAGCATATCGCTTCCTCTAATTCCTACTTGCCTCTCTGTAACTTTGCATCTCTTGCCCTTTCAGCCTCAACCTTTCCTCTTGAGGCTTCAATCATACCTTAATGCCTTTCCACTGCTCACAGGACAAATCCAAACTCCTTTTCTTGACCATCAATGTCCCCCATCATTAATTAGTTTTATTTTCCAGACTCATTTCTTACTATTACTCATTTCTGGTTTTGTTTTGAGTACAGAGCCATGTTCCTCTTTTGTATAGAATGTCCCTCTCCCTTTTTATGTCTTTAGAATTGGGGCTGCTATATGTCTGTGTCCCTCAGAAGGACACTCATTGCAATTTCTTTTCCCATTAGGTGTTCCAGTCTAAGATGATTTATTTGTGTGACTCAATGATGCTTGTTTCCTCTAGTAGACTGTATGTTCCTTGAATCCAGAGTCCCCCCATGACCTCTTCTACTCTCCAATCTGTGTAACTTTGATTTCCTGATTTTTATCTTCATTCTTGGCATCTCCTTGAGTCCCAGCATGTATTCCAGTTCTCTACTCTATATCCCCACTTGTGTGACTAATAAACATCTCAAGCATCTATCTCCAACCCTCAATGCTTAGTCCCGGCCCTCTTTCAGTAGACTTCTCACTTAAGTTAGGGATAATGCCACTCTTTCAACTGTTGAGGGTGGAAAAACAACTCTGATTATATTATTGAAGTTTTTCTTTCTCTCACATCCTACACCTTGTCAGACAACATAACCTCTTAATATTACTTTCAACATAAATTCAGAGTTTGACAACTTCTTGTCACCTCACTGCACTGACCTGATCAAGCCACCATAATTTCTCTTTTGGATTTTTTAGGAGGCTCCCGCAGGCCACATGGCGAACTGTAGCCAAGTCTCCATTTTGGGCATGGGTCTCTGTAGAAATCTTAAGAGAGCTGTGGCTGGATCTTACTTATATTCATTGTCTATCTTTTTGAATAAAAGTGAATAGTTACTATTTCTCCATTGAGTCCTGGAAAAAATGTCTATTTGACATACCAGCAACCTAGTGGACATTAGATATTACTTATTAGGAACTCTGGGCTAGGTGTTCATTTAACATTATTGAAGAAAGGGGGAAGTGCATTCTTATATTGGAATCAAAAGATTTGTGCACATGTACACAAGTATACATACCTTGATGTGATTTCTGATTTTGCCACTTCCTGCTGTGTGGATTTGGGACATATTATATCACCTTTGACAGTTCAGTTTCTTTGCTTATAAATAGAAACAAAGTAACCACTTGCACAAAGGGTCAGCAGGGCTTACTGGCAGATGCAAGGTAAGTACTGAGTGCAGTGCCTGGCATCAAGTTGTGGCTACTAGGGCTACTTCAGACCCCTTTAGTTTTATTTCATTCTTCTTTCAAAGGCAAATGAGCAGATGAGGAGACAGCACAAATTGCTGCCAAGCAACCAGTTCTGAAGCCCGTGGGACCATATGAGGACAGGACATAAAAGTTCTGCAAAACTTATCACCCCATTAGGCTGCCAAAAGAGTGAGTTTCTTTCATTTTGCTATTCTGACATTTGTTAATATGTTTTTGAATAAAAAATCTTTATTTTTTCATTAAATACTGGTATCTGATTCCCCAGATGGAAATGCTTTGAGTGGCTGTCATATGTTGTATAAACATCTTGGAATTTCTAATTTGATACCAAAATGAGGGGTTTTACATCTCAGCAGCAATAAAACTATTAGTTTTGTTAACAGTCATTATTTTGATTGTCAGCTAAACCTGTCTCCAGCTCTCTCAAAGGCCAGCCCAATAACCAGGAATTGACCTGCCCCGTATGCTGCTGCAGGGCACTACTTGGACACAGTAAAGCAAGACTCTGGATTTGTCTGGAGCCATTTAACTTTGGTTTTCCTTACATAGTATTTTTCTTTACCTTTCTTTATTTCTTTGCTTCCTTCCTCATTCTTTCCTTATTTTTATATTCTTTTTTTTTAAAAAAGATTTATTTATTTATGCATATAAGAACCGGGGTACAGGCCAGATATGCATTCTTCTTTCATAGGCAAATTCACCAGAGACACCGTGTGGAGCAGAACAGACAGATCAGTGAAGTACACTGCTGAGGGAGCAGCGGGAGAGACAGGGGAGGTCTGCTGCGCCATGTGGGTTACCTCCGTGGCTGGGAATCGAACTTGTACTGCTGTGGCTGAGGGCAGCTCCACAAGTGCTGTGCTTTAACTTGTTGCGTCACGAGGGAAGGCCCATTTTTATATGTTCACATTAAGTATTTGAGTTAGATATTGTTTCCATTTTGGAGATGTTAATTTAGATAACTTTCCCAATAACCTAGCCAGTACATGTAGAATCAGGATTTAAACAAAGGCACACTTCCTGCAGAACTTCACTATTTAACTACCACACTATTTGTCCAAAAAGAAATCTATCATCTACTCAAAACAACTTGTGAGTTCACTTTATCAATAACGTGAACAATCACAGTCATCATACATATATCCTGCTGTTATTATTATAATCATTTAACATTAGAGGAAACTGAGGACTGGAAAGATGAAATCAGTTCCCCATATTCACACAGCTAATAAGCTAATAACCTCAGTCTTTCTGTGAAGACGCTGCAATGAATCAGAAGGATGCACTGGCTCCCTTGAAGGCAACACTGTGCTCGGAGCCTCTTCACACGTTGTCCCTGGCATCCTGCTGCCCCGCCACTGCTCACTGGGCCCAACTCTGGCAATCTTACAGATGATCCTATGGATATCCAGTAGAGACATCTAAGCCTGGAGAGTAATAAATCATGCATTTTAGCCCATCCAACAGCATGCCTACCAGGATGAGTGTAATGACCCTGGGTCCTGAGAGGAAACTCTGAGATGAATCTCTGAGATGAGTCTCTGCAGATGCAGAAACCACAGCAAGAGAACTCAGCTGCTGTGAGTAGGAAGATGCTGAGAGGAGCCAAACCCAGGGTGGTGTTTTGAAAACTGCTCCACATGAACCCTCATGGCAGCCTCTAGTCTGGGTCTCAGTTTCTTACCTTCCTTTGTGCTACAGATCAAGTCCTTTTACTAATGTAAACCAAGAGTTACTAAGTTTTGTCTCCTGAGTAAACCTCAGTGAATATCTGTGTGGATCTTGGACTGGATGCAAGAAAGAGGAGCTGCAGACTTCTGCAGGTGCTAAGCGTGGCTGTAAGATCACATTCCAGCTCCCCTGCTCTCCCTTGCTGAGCCCTGATGCTGGTTGTGTGAACCCTGGGACTGAAGGCTGCCTCTCTAGAAGATGAGCCATGTGTGAGTGTTAAATGAAATGTAGCATTAGAAGACAGTGGCCCAGTGTCTCCACACATAGATGTCCTAAGTAAATGTCACTCCTTGTTGCTATTATTGTCTTTAGCTGCCTGCTACTTTGCAGCTCTGAGGCAGGAGGAGCTGAGGCTGAAACACTCTGATGTGACAAGCAGTCCACACCCACAGGTTGCATGATGTGAATAAAAGAGGGAAGTGGACCTTTTGGTGAGAGTGCCCAGAGGAGGGAGGGAGCTGGCTTAAATCCCATCCCCTCCTGCTGTGATTCTTAGAATGCAGTTGATTTTCCTGGTCAAAAGGTGAAGATGGACATAAAAGAGCTGGCCAGGAGAAGAGAGTGCTTATTTCTCCCTCAGAAGCACTGAGAAATCATTCTCCCAGAGCCTTTACGCTTCCCTCATAAACACCCAAAATCTCCAGTCACCAGAAGGATAGAGTAAATCACAGATTACAACTTAGTTTTGTGGCACAGATCACCCAAAATGCCCCCAGTGAGTCTCAGGATTCCAGTTAGGGTGTGGTAGGCTCCTGTGATGTACAATCCTGAGCAAGCTGCATGATACAATTAGTTGAGCTGCACTGGCTACAGAACCCATGAAAAGGCCTCCTTCTGGGCGGTGGGGACTAGAGAGGTGATGTCTACAGAGAGGAGCAGGCACTGCAAGTTAATGTGGGTAGGAGGGAGGGAAAATAACACTAGTGATCTGTTTGCACACAGATGGACCTCACAGGCAGGCGCTGCCCTGCTTACCCTCCCACTATCACCTACGATGTGCTTACTATGAACTTGAGATCTTGAAATA